CCTCAGAGGCTGCCAAGAGCAGAGCGTGCCAGGCGCTGGGCGGGAACGAGGCAGCCATGATTCCGGCCGGTCCCTGGCAGCGAGACGGCGGCTCCCCACCCGGCACGGCTCTGCTGGCACTCCTTAGGGGGGGGGGGGGGGCTGCGCTCCAGGCCTTGTCCGGAGGGGGGGAATCGCAGCAGATTTACCAGGAACCCGCAAAGGCCTGGCCTGGGCTCCAGCCCCAGGCACCACAAGGAGGAACAGAGCCCTTCGCGTTCGGAGAGCACTGGAATGGGAAGGACTTCCGCTCTTCTGACATCCACAGTGGGACGAAGATCCAGACCTTCCTCCCCTCCCTGCCACAGCTGCGCTTCCGAAAGGTGGCCTTAAGAAACACTTCATCTCACTTCCAGTGCAAGGGAAAAAGCATCAGGGAAGCTTGTGCTGGCTGCATCCTGAAAGAGAGGCATCTGACGTGCAGGAAGGAATTCCAGGATCGTGATCAAACCAGCAGGCAGAGGGAGAGGTGGGCTGGAGGAAAGTGAGAGACCACGGGGTAATTCCTCCTGCTATGGACTGTGGGCATTATCAGACCCCGTGCACATAAACCGTCCCCTTTAACAGTGCTGGCCGGAGAACGTGCGAGGCCCCCAGGACAGGCCCAAAGGTCTGTGAGAAGGCCCTGCTCCAGGGCCTGGCCGGCAACCTCCCCTCTTTCCAAGCAGATCAGGACAAGGGCTCACCAACTGCAGTCCCTGCCATGCTTGCGACACGGGAGCAGGACTCAGTACCAGAGGACACAAACCAGGCTGACCGGCTGTCCCTCGGGAAGGGCAGCTGCATGAATGAGCGCACGGGGGTCCTTCTCGACCAGTGTTCTGTCCACCCAGGGCCCAACTTGCTGCTCTGGACACAGGACAGCAAGAGAGCCCTCCCACCCAAGCTCCCCAGCAACTGGTCCACCCAGGCACACGGCCGTTGATCCTGAAGGCAGCTTAGAGCCATCAGGACCAGTGGAAACGCGGAAACGGAGTAAGACAGAAGGAGCCTCTTGCGCCATCTAGTCTGACCCATGGCTCCAGCCATCTCAGGTAATAGCAGGCCCACCATGTGCATGTCCAGCCTGTCCTGGAACAGCCTCACCGATGGGGCTTCAACCACCTCCCGGGGAAGCCCATTCGACACCTGGGGCGGTGGTGGCGAACCCGTGGCACGCCTGGCCACAGCAGGCGCACAGAGGCCTTTCTGTCAGCACGTGAGCGACAGTGTCCCAGCATCACAACCGAAGCCACGCATCAGGTAACAGTCTGCACAGGGGCCACGCGCATGCTGGGAAACGAGTAAGGGCGTGAGGCCGTGATGTCACGAGCCGTGACTCAGCCGTGACGTGTCCAAGCTTTCACATGACTTGTCACTGAAGTGCCAATGATACAAATACATATTTGCATGGACAGGCAGGGAGGTGTATTTTCTAAACAAAAACTCAGTTGTCAGGTTTTATTGCAGTGTTGGCTCTTTGCAATAAATGTGTTCTGGGTTGCAGATTGTGCACTCGGTCACTAAAAGGTACACCATCAGTGTGTTAGGGCTAGAAAAACGAGGTGTCCCAGCATGATTCTGACGGTTGGAATGTGCTTAGCATGAGCAGAAATGATGGGCTGTGCAGGAAAAGCTAATCTACGGAGCCTTTTCCAAAATTGCACTATTTTCAATGGAACTGTTTGCATTTATTAGGGTTAGGGGTCAGCACCAGGGTAGGGTTAGGGTTAGGAAAACGAGGTGTCCCA